TTTCATTTTGGTGCCTTTCAATTAAACATAATACTTATTGTTACCTTTTTTTTTTGAGAGAAAATACTTATTGTTACCTTAAGGAATCAATAATAATAATGAATTGAATTCGGCGTCTTTAGCTTTAAACTTTGTTTCACTTTGAAGCCTTATGGTTTGGCAATATCACTTAATTTAACTACAGCTTGTCTTTGTCCATCGCGAATATATATTAATAAACTTTTCTAAACTTTTATTTCCCAAAAACGCATTTATATAAACTATCTTTACATCAAACCAAACAATATTTGAACTTTGATCTATGAAGCATGACATATATATACATGTTTAATATATTTTATACACTAGATTAGGTCCCGTGCCATGCACGGTAATTTTAAATAATTATACAATAAAATAATATTTAATTAAAAAAACATACATTTGTTAAAAAAACAAAAAATACTAAAATGAATTTGTTTTTTTAAAAAAACCAAAATACTATAATTTTTTTTTGAAATAAATAATATTGTATAATTTAATTAAACATACATTTGTTTTTCAAAAAATATAAATTTCTCTAAAATAGTATGATGAATTTGTTATGAAAGAGCTCATTAGCCATACAAGTATTTTAATATTTTAATATACACATTTGACAAAATCTGACATATATATATATTTGTATATTTAACCAAAATATTAGTATCATTTTTTTTTTGCTTTTTAACCAAATGAATTTTTAAAAGCTATTTACTATGTATTTAACCTGTAAATATATTTCTATTTTATTTTTTTTAGAAAGTAAATTGGTGTTGTAAAAAAATAGTACACTACACTCAATATGTCAAATATAAGATTCCGTTTTTTCCCCTAAAATTTATATCCTCTATAGTTGTTAATATTTTTGTGTAAGGATTTATCAAATATTTTATTTTAAGTAATTTTTAATATTCTAGTTACTTTCTTGAAGTTTCTAAATATAATGTCTCTTTTTATAAAGATATTAAATAAAAAAATAAATGCAATTATTGAAGTACATGTGACACTATGATTGACAAAAAATATGTAGATGCTAAGTTTGAATTTTTTTTTTTCCTTTTACATAAGTTTATATAGTTGTCAAATGTCAAGAATACATCAAATATTTTATTTATGTATAGGTTTGTTATACTTTATTTTTATTTAAGATTTGTTTCCTAAAAAAAAAACTAAGGGACACATCAGAAAATGACACGTGTCATTGCTGGTGTGTCTTTTAGTATATAGTTATTGATTGATTGATTGATAATATAGATGTCATATGACTTAATTTTTTTATCCCAATAAGGATTATGTATGTTCCTTAATTATTCTAAACAAGGTCAGAGTGCCAATAATAATGCCAAAATGGGTGTGCATTTAGGAAAATCAGATATTTTTCAAATACTCGTATTTTGTTGGCTGCCAAACACCCAAAAACTCGAGGAATAAAGTACCTAAGCTACAATTTATAGCTAGTGTAAGTAACTTTTTCTTAAAAATTTTTGTTTTAAAATTCATTTATCTAGCAAACCTTTCCTCCTGAATTCAAATAATTGAACTTGTACAATGATTCTGTATGCTTTATGCATCTATTGCTTTCGAGCATGAATTTTTTATGCATGCGAACGTCAAAAGCCTGCTACAAGCATCATATTCCTTCCTTAGCTTTTCATTTCTCAAGCAACAAGATGCATAAACAATACACATGCCACGTATTAAGACTACAATTTACCGTAGTTGTATATATTTACTAGGTGGTGTATATATATTGATAGAGAATATACGCATAATATTATATTCATCTAGCTATTATAATATATGTATAGATACACTTTGTATATATGTATATATATTGATCATATTGCATGGCTTTAGGCTAAGCTTATATTATCGAGAGGTAAATTAAAGTGGTTGAAAAAAAAAATGAAGCAACTAGAAGCCAGTTCTAACCACAATACTATTAGTACCTTAAATGAGCAAGAGAGTTATTTCGCCTTCATACTAGCGCCTTTCAAGAAGAGTTCAAACAAGAACAAGAACAAGAAGCAACCCTTAAGTAGCTACAAGGTGCCAAAGGTGACAAGTACCTCTGAAAATGGAGCTTATACAAAAGCAAATTGTAACGGGGATGTTGATTGTGAGGCCAACGTTTTCATTCAAAACAAGCATAAGAATCAGAGATGGTATAGCCGCCGCCTGATGAAGAAGGAGGGTTCCGGTAAGGATGGTGTGGATAAGAAAGAATGTGCCGGAGATATTGATTGTGAGGCTGAGATTTTCATCCAAGAGAAGCGCAAAAAAATGTTGCTTAGTAAGACTATGTCCTTTTTTACAAGGAAATAAGTTCACTATTATTATAACCTATGTTACGTAACACATATATGTATGTTTTTTTTTTTGTCCTTTTAAAATGGATTGTCGAAAGAGGGCTCAAAGCGTATTGTAGATGAATAAGTTGGACCTATCTATCTATATTGTGATGGAATATTGGTAGCAAATGGTATTTGTTGCCATACAATCCGGTTGTCGCGGGTTCGAAACACGTAGTACACTAGTACGTGTATCACCCTGATGAGACAAGGTATTAGTAATGTTCATTGTATTTTCACAAAAAAAAAAAAATGTTCATTGTACATGCATGATTGCATGAATGTATGTGTAAGAAAATACTAAGTATGAAGTATAATATAATATATTGGTTTATTGGATTCTTTCAAAAAAAGAAAAAAAATGGCTTATTAGATGTACTTGTTTGCTCACATATTCTACAAGGCCAGTTTTTCTATACAACAAATGTATGGTTGTTGACCTTAAGTTTTGATGATGACTCAAGGAAGCTAAGCAAACCCATAGGTGTTTAACTTTAGTCTATTAGCTTTGATTTATTGACAGGTGTATATATGCAACGAAGTTCTAGAGTCAGAATGGAGCATAGAACAAGGTCTAAAGATAGGCTATGGATGATCAAAGAAGTCAATCAAAAGTCAAGTTCATTTAGTGAGGAACTGAAGCTCCAGAGTCGAAGCTTCACAGTGTCTCAAGGAGTCCAATGTATTTTATCTTTATTTTAGGCTTCTTGTATTTATGTTAAGTACATTGTCAATTGATAGGATTTAAGTGGATTTAATTTTATTTGATAAAGATTTTATTTTTCTTGTTTTAACTTATTTTAATTTAATTTCGAAAAATATCTTTTTAAGTTAAAATATCTTTTGGAAAAAGATTTTCTGGTTTGATTTCATCTTATTCTTTGGAAAACCTGTTTTAGAAAATATTCTTTTAACGTGCGTTTTAGTATGTCAAAAACAGTTGAGATATCTTAGGAGCAGCAAAACTGATTTCCTAGTATTTCGCTTTACTTGCTGCCCAAGATCCCACTCCTTACACTTCCTAGTTTCAAGGAGGTTGTGGTTGAGTGGTGATTGTGGCAACGAGTATTTCAACTGCCTAAATCTTCTATAAATAGCCTCGGTTTTCAGTTGGAAAATCACACTTGAGCATTACAGTCTTTTAGCTTTTAAAAAGAGTCATAATCCACTTGAGTCCTTGAGTGTCTTTGTACTTAGCAATTTAGAGTTTAATCTTTGAGTTGTATTGGGTTAGAGTTTGGGAAAACTCTAAGAGTGTTTTATTGCTGAGTGAAGCAAGGAGAAAGAGAGAGTTTGAGAGTTCGACTGGTTGAGGGATCAATTGAAGGGAGCTTAAGTTCATAGAGGAACTTGAGTTTAGAGTCTTAATTTGTAATAGGTTGTTTGCCCTATTATTATTAAGAATTGAGTTTAAAATCCCTTGTGGTCGTGGTTTTTATTCTTGATTAGGGCCAAGAAGTTTTCCACGTAAAATCTCTCTTTGCACTTTTAATTTTTATTCGAGTTCCTTTATAAATTCCGCAAAAATTATCCTACTTCCTCTACAATACAATTCACCCCCCTCTTGTATTGTTCATTCGAGTCAACAATGGTGTACAATGAAATTCTATCACCGCGCACGTAGCTTGTAACTTAGTCAAAGTACGAGTATATTATAAACAAGAGGCTCAGTGTTGAGGGAATAACCCAAATTTTATATCAATAGTTGATTTGATGAAATCCAATTGGGATTACATGTGCTCAAACTATCTTCCCATCTAAGATTATTTTTAATTTATTTTGTAGCCATTTTACAGCTGTTGGAAGCGGCTAAATGTAGCCGTTTTGCACGGGTTGTGCTGGCGGGTCGTCCTGCGGGCCAAATTATTGTGCCGCCCACCGTGCCCGTACCGTGCTCGTGCCAAATTTTCAAAATTGTGTTCACGGCACGGCCCACGACCTACTCCTCGGTCTCCGTGATGTGATGTGCCGTTGGCGGGCTCGTGTCGGGCCGTGCCACCACCGTGACGTGCTCGTGTCGCCCGCGGGCCAGCACGGCCCATGCCCACCTCTAGTCACAACTAACATCATAGTTCGTGGTGTTTTGACTACTACGCGTAGTTTAGAATGCTAAGTACACCTAAGCCAAATTTCAGGATGTTATGGCTAATTTTTCCAACATAAAATGCAACAAATTATGGACTTTTGAATAGTCATCTTCAAGTGGGTTTTGATATCCAAAACTTTATTCAAGAATCAAGACTACTGGTAGTCTTGCCAAACAATATTGTTAGATTATTTTTGCTGAACACTCCTCTCCAGACTCCCTATAAACTCACCCTCATGCGCATAGTCCGTACTACAACAACTTGACAAATACATTGAAAAAAAATGCCTGAAAACAACCTGCGTCAAATTTGGCAACTCACAAGTTCACAAGCTAGAAGTTGCCAAATATCTCATTTATTTAGAGTTGATTTGTGTGGTAGCTGATTAATTGAGCAGTGTATGTTGTCTGATCTCTCATTTCCTATTAATTCAAACCAATCAAATTAAAATCAAGAAGACGCGTATGACGTGGCTGTTTGATTCATTCAAACTATGAAGAATATGCATGTAATGATTTTGTCAAGTCAACATAACCGTAGACTCAAACATACTATATATACTTCAAACATACTAAGACTGATCTGATCTGTTTCATTGTTGAATTACGATCATTTTTCAACTCATCTTGCAAATTATATTGTTGAGCTTCCATTATCAAAACAAAGTTACGTATTATCATCTTGCAAAGCCGAGTTAGAACAAGACTAGGAGAAGCAATGAGCTCTGATGGGAGTCAGAGTGACCCAGCTAGTTCCTTTAGCTCCGCAGTTATTGGTAAAACTTTAACTTCAACTTCACTTTGCAATATTTTGTTTAATTTGAAGTCCCATTTCATTATTGTTATAGATCCGAGGGAGTCGATGTTAATCTTTGTAATAAACAATTATTGTTTATCACATGTCATTATGGTAAGTAGGGGTGTTCAAATCCGAGTACCCGTACCCAGATCTTTGGGTAGTTGATAAGTCGGCCCGTGTCCTGTGTAAGATGGAGGCCTAGGGGTGCACCGGTACGAAAAGTGGAAGAGTGGGACTATGGAGGGATTAAATGAGGGAGAGGGAGATAAAAAAGGTTACTTGGTTAGAAGCAGTGGCGGATCCAGGATTTCAAAATAGGGGTAGCACTAAACAATAGGGAAAAATAATATACAGCTACTAGCCTACTAACTTGAGACTAAAAAAAAAGAGCTAAATTTAAACTGGTAATAACACGCCAAGTTTTTTGCTTAATGTAATGGGATTTTGTAGAAAAAGTTACCATCAATTTTTCAAATAACTATAGATTTTGCACCAAGTTATTATTGCGGATAAATTATGTACAATATATATATCAAAATATTTGGTATTACAATCAAATAAAATTAGTCAAATTAATAAGAAATAACTAATTTTATTTAATCCGATCTATTAATTTTATTCCATACTATTAATTGTTCTTAACCAGTTTTTATTCCATACTATTAATTGTTCTTAACCAGTTTTTTATGAGAGTTATTTTTATCTAAACAAAAATGTCAAAAAAAGTGAAAAGTGATTTGGGGAAGAATCAATTTATGACGGAAGTCATATTTATTTAATCCGATTTATTTGAATATAAATGTCAAGAAATAGGAAAGTAATTTGGAGATAAAAAAATAATAATAAAGCATTGATGGTTTTCGAAAAAAAGGAAAAAAAAAAGACATATAAATGAACTGAAAAGAAAACATTGTGGGTTAGGAGGAGGAGATTCAATCCTAAGACTCCAAGGATACTAGAAAGTTTAAACTGTATAGCAACCACTGAATCACCTTCAATAATGTTGTCAAGTTAGCATTTTTAATCTTTTTAAGCTATTTTACAGAAGGCCTTTTTGTAAACAAATTTTTTTTTTTTCGGGGGTAACATGTGCCCCCCCGGTCACTACGTGGATCCGCCAATAATTAGAAGGAGTTAGGAAGGATATGAGCTACATGGATTTACATGAGGATAGATGAGGCATTGGAAGGAGGAGGAAGATTTTTGTCGACGGCTACATGGAATAATCAAATTTGGTTCATATAGCCAACCTTACTTATAGGATAGATTAAGGCTTTGATTGGTTGATTTATTGAGGAACATAAAAAGAAAAAAAAGGAAATTATTCCCTGATTCTCATAGAGGCATTGTTTTCGTGAATAAATTAACAAATTTTTCATTAATGTGGGCTCCGCAATTGAATAAAGTGAGAAAGTACTAATGTAGGTTTGATATGTATTTGCAAATGCATATCAGACCTTAAAATATTGAAAAGTATTGTAAAACACATGGGGGTGAGAAAAGGAGGAGAGAGATGGGCACGTGGGACCATTTTTAAATATACCACTGAAAGCTTATATAATATCATTGACTATGTAGTGATACTATTTCTACACGTAGCTAATACCACTGAATAAATATACAGTTGCATTAAATGAATATACAGTACCACTGAATGTTCAATGATACTATTTGATCATCTAGTGATAGTATAAATCATCCAGTGGTACACTTAAATTCAGCACATAGGGGTGAGAGAAAAGAGGAGAGATATGGGTAAATTTCATGCGAAATGTCTCTTATGCCCCTTAATATGTATGTCAAGGTACCTATCAAACCTCCCTTTGAAAGGCCTCGAATAAAGTTGTTGGTTTATTTACAAAAACTCCAAGTGAGAAACAAATTTTTGTTTCTCACTATGAGAAATCAAGGCATCCCCAAAAAAGGTATGTAGGATGGTATTATATATGCTCGTTTAGTCCCATAATATAATAGTGTGTACCGTTCATTTCACTTTACTTGGTTTTGAATATGTCTTTTACCATCATGCATTAACAAATAATTATAAAAGTTGATATTATATAAAATTAAGGGTACATTTGGCATTGATGTGGTTTTTCAGTTTTTCAAAATCATACAATATATGTCTTATAATGAATAAAAAGTTAGTCAAACTTATAAAAATCATGATAATTTTGAAAACTGACAACTGAAAAGTAGAAACACATTTTTCTTCTTTCCTATTTTAGATTTTTTTGTTTTTAAAAAACAGAAAACTAAAAACGAAAAATGATGTCAAACAAGCCCTAACTTAAACATTTCTTAATTCTTAAATAAACATATAAATGTCAAAGAGAATTTGTGGTTTAAGTTCGACCTAAGGCACTATATATATATACACACACGTGATTTACATAGTGCTACATACAAGGTATTTGGTTAACTAAGATGGTCCATTGCATATATTATCCCAGCTTCGGTCGTTGTGAGTGCGATTGCTACTATAGCAATAGTGATTGCAATAATCTATTGCTTAAAGAGGACAGGGGATTCACTCCCTAAATATGCACAAGCTCAATTGACCGTTGGACGTAACAACTCTAGCCAACAACAACAGAATTACAATTTTAATAATGAAGCAAACATTACTTACGCAACCATGGAGCGATTCCTTGGTGACATAGCACGAGAGCAGCCTACTCGATTCTCAGCGACCGAGCTTACTCAGTGCACCCGAAACTTTACTAAGGTACGTACTCACTATAGCTCTTAGGCAGCCTTACCTTAGCTTGTGTGAGCTTTATATATAATTTTATTTGGGCTTATAATCGTATACAATTATCAAAAGTGATCAAAAATCGACTTGGCTTGTATGCAAGTAACAAAGAAAATGAAGTACTTCCTCTATTTCCTTTAATTGCAAAGTAATTTCTTGACATATTTTTTTAGAAATTAATTAAAACACATTGATTAACTTTGAGCACTAAAATTGAAGAGGGTAGGGTTAGAAGATATGTGTATTGATTATTTATGTTATTTTATCCACTTAAGTAGATTAATCTCTTTCTCAAAGAGCATGCAAAGAAGGTGGGTTGCATTTAAAAGAAAGCCACAAAACAAAGTGTTTGATAAAAGTGCATGCTAAAAAGGTGGGTTGCAAATGGATTACCTCAATTCGTATATTTTCGGAAATTCATTTTTAAGGAAAATAAATTTTCAATGAAAAATAAAATTGTAAAAATGGTTTCCTTTGTGATAGAGTATAAAACATATTCCTAGACCTCAACCATCAGCTTAAGCTTTTGGTTGAGATGATTCAATATAACAAGGTATCGGAGCCAACGTGACATAGAGGTCACAGGTTCACCCCAGGTATGGGTGAGTCGAGTATAAAACATATTCCTAGATTTCAACCATCACCTTAAATTTAATCCAATACTTCTTAATTTCTTTGTTTCACTATAAGAAAATATTTTTCCACGAAAATAAACCAAACCTAAAAGTTGAGCATGACCAACTCAACCAGACTAAAATTTTCTTAAAATTGCCTTCAAATTTCGAATGAATCAACCATTGCACAACCCGTTTGACACAAAACATAGAAAAAAAACATATAATTTATGCAATTCGATTGATTTTTTGAGCAGGTATTAGGGTCGGGTGGATTTGGTGTGGTGTACAAAGGAGAGTTTCCGAATGGGATTCATGTCGCGGTAAAAGTTTTGAAAGAGAATGTAAGTAAGAAGGTTGAAGAACAATTCATGGCAGAAGTAAGCACTATGTGTAGAACATATCACATTAATCTCGTAAGGCTTTATGGTTTTTGTTTCGATCCAACAATGAAAGCCTTAGTTTACGAGTATATGGAACAAGGATCTCTTGATAATCTATTATTTCGTCGAACAAGTAATAACATTACGTATGTAGCATTGGACAAGTTACAAGACATTGCAATTGGTACGGCTAGAGGTATAGCATATTTACATGAAGAATGCCAAAAGAGAATCATTCACTATGACATTAAGCCCGGGAATGTACTATTAGATGCAACGCTAAATCCGAAGGTGGCGGATTTTGGACTAGCTATGTTATGCAATCGAGATAACACACACGTTGTTATGTCAGGTTGTCGAGGAACACCAGGGTACGCTGCTCCAGAGTTATGGACTCCCTACCCGGTCACTCACAAATGCGATGTTTATAGCTTTGGAATGCTTTTATTTGAGATTGTAGGGAGAAGAAGAAACCATGACACTAATCTTAGTGGGACTAGCCAAGAGTGGCTACCGAGGTGGGCGTATGAGAGGTTCGACAAGGGAGAGTTAGCGGAGATGTTGTCGCTTGTAGGTATCGAAGAGGACGATAAGGAGAAGGCAGAGAGAATGGTGAAGGTGGCTCTTTGGTGCGTACAATACTTGCCAAATGCAAGACCTATGATGAGTTCTGTTGTAAAGATGTTGGAAGGAGGGGTTTCTATTGATTCACCACCAAATCCATTTGCTCATTTGCAGGATAATTTTGGATTAATTGGTGAAGGTGATAGTAATTCATCATCAACTAAAAGCACTTCTCCATTAACCAAATCTGAGAGCAGCAATTTGGAGATTCAAGTAGCCAATACTTATTGATTGTTATCATTGTTTAAGCATGTCTAATTTTATGTAAGTCTATAGGAATGATTGAGAACATATGCACAATTATAAAAAACAAAAAAAAAAAAAGGTATAGTACCCTACCATATCACCCTATTCTTTTGGTGGTGTTTAAGGGTCTGTTCTGATTTACTGAACTGAACCGAACTTAACTTATTGGAGCTAAATTGAACATTTTATGAGAGAAGAAAATTAAGAACTGAACTTATTGGAGCTGAACTGAACGAAAAAGAAGAGAACATGCCCTAAGTTAGTTATTTAATTAATTTCTCTGTTTATCTTACCTCAGATCAGCTCATCTAATAATTTATTTCCTTTGCAATTTAGATAAGTAAAATTATTTTTGGACTTAAACGTGTGTACAATGTATCTATCGTATCACTCATCACTTTCAACTGGTGATCCGGTTGAGAATGGCCGAACACGCAGTGATCATTCTTACTTCTATTTATAACTTTCTTTAATTAAAGATGCAAAATTGCTATATGTAGTGCTTAACTTTTCTATGAAATAAATAATGGTGAACTGTTAGCGTTATTCCTTTTTGTATGTCCCGATTAATGAGGTGCAGTGGAGGCATAACTAGCATATCAAAGTTTTGAGTAGCTAATTCGATCTCGAAGCTTTTGACTTGTAGGAGTAATGGTATTAAAGTTATTCTAGAATCGATCACCTCCTCATAATATAAAACTAGTATGCAGTCCGGGTGTTACATCGAGTTAGCGCTTTAATTAAATTTTTTTCTTTATGAAAATATTTTTATTATCCTAGTTTTTTTTTTTCAAGTAATTTGTATTAGAATTGTGGTATTATTATGAATTGATAAAGTATAGGTTGCTTAAGTATGTTGTGCACAGATATTAAACAAAATGTTATTGATGAACAAAAAGTATAGGAAGCCAATTTTTAACTCTCCATTGTTTGGGAAAAGATGATTTTATTCCTCTTAATTTTTTTTCAAGTTGCGAATCTAGTTTTCCCATTTAATTTTGTGCGTATCATTTATAGTTGTATAAATCTATATAGATGATATGATTTATTATTGGCTAAAACAGTAAGAAGTTTGATCTTGTTCCCCCTAAGGTTTAGTGTTCGAAATCCGTAATATGCCCTTTGTTAAGTGGTGATGACGTGGCATAATGATATTGCAAAAAAGGGAGGAATGATTTATTATTAAGTGATGTTGTGGCATAATGCTATTGCAAAAAAGGGAGGAATGATTGGCACATAAACGTTTTTAGGAACGCTTTTTAATATATAAAAATAGTATAGATTATTCTTCTGGAAGTCTGATTATTAGTGAAATGGTAACGTCTATTGTGTGCTCTAAATACAATATAATAACTAGAGAAAACCGTTGTATAGTTTATGTGGTATTATTACACCTAAATAAGTTAGCACTATTGTTATACAATAAATTATAGTAAGTTTGTATCATACATAGATATGGATATATCAAATCTCAGCATTATAAGCCTTATGGGATATGATACAATTCGTAGCTAGGTAGCTTTTCATGCATAGAAAACCTTTATATGATTCTAAAGATAAATACTTTGTAATGATAATTATATTAGACAAATACTTTAATTGTAATAGATAATAATAATATCAAGGAACAATTGTACCTATAGATTAAAAATTACTGTAAAAGAAAAAGACTGCCAATAAGCTTAATTTATTACTCGATCACTTTATTGAAATATATAATAAGTTCACTTGATCTTAAATCTAGACATCATTAAAAACGTGCATATAGCAGAAAAATAAACATATACTGTAATTAAACAACAATACAACATGTGTGCCTGAGATACAAGCCTATAAATATAGGACAATTAATTCCTAATCACTCACAAATTAAACTCATAAACACCAATTCAAAGAGAAAGTTAGCCTTGTAAAAAGAGAAATGTCATCAACAAAAAATTCAAACAAGGTAGTTCGCACAAAGAGTTTATTAGATGAATACCGCATCTATTTCTCTCATGTGTTGTCACCATTGAAGAGGAAGCCGAGGGGCGACTCGGGCTGCACTACAAAGGCGCAGCTCAACCAGCAGTACTATGATGGTAGCAAGGGAGTTGATGAAGGCGATGTTAATGCCAAAGCAGAGGATTATATTAAGAAAAGACATCAGAAGTTTGTGCTTAGCAAATGGATATCCAAAAATTCTAATTAATTAATATGCAATAGTTGAATGTTGATGATCAGTTATAAATTATAAGAATTGTTAGTAATATTACTCCTTATATGCTCTTATATTGTTGTATTTTTGGTTGAGATTGAGAGCAAGGTTTAATTTATGTGGTTTAATATTCATTTAATAGCACTATTTTAAATTATGTCGTTATTGACTTTTACTAATACAACATACAAACATATAAACTTAGTCATGTTGATTGTTTGTTGTCTCTCGAAAATCACCTCCTAATATTGTTCATCATATATAACTACGGAGTATTAATTAAGGTTTGGCTAATCCTCGAGTTTATATTGCATTGAAATATTGAATTAATGACATGGGTTAATCTTTCCAAATCACAATAAGGTAGTAGCTAAGTACGGAGTAGTAATGTAATAAGAAATGATATGAATAGTGTAGTGGTGGTTGGAATTGAAGATGGACTTGTAAGTCCAATTGTGGTAGAAGGTTGACTTTGTTAAACTTGCATTTATTTAGCAAGTTGGTGGGAAGCTCCTAGAATCTTAGATGGAATAGCAAATGGTATTTGGTTATTTGCTACTCTCTCCTTATAATAATAATCGCAACAGTAGGTCATGCACGAAATTTTTCACAATTAATAGGGTAGGAAAGCATTATGGACATCCATTTGGTGCAATTCCCAATTTTTCGCAGCAGCAACAGCTAGAAAAGCACGAACGGTGACCATTTTAGCTACGGGAGCAAATGTCTTGTTATAATCAATACCCTCAACTTGATTATTACCAAATATAACGAGACGAGCCTTCCATCGCTCAATTGTGCCATCGGAATTGAGCTTGACCTTGTAAACCCATCTGCACCCAAGAGCTTTCTTACCCGGAGGTATTTTTTCCATCACCCATGTTTCATTATTTTCCGGAGCTGTGATTTCTTTTCGCATAGCCTCCTTCCACCCCTCATGTTGCATTACCTCATTAAAATTACGAGGCTCAACCATTGTATCCACAGCTGCAATAAACACACGGTGTCGCAAGGAAAAATTATTACAATTCACAAAATGTGCTAAGGGATAAGGAGTACCTGAGGAACCCGGAGTAGACGGTGAACTTGGAGTGATAGATGGACTAGAGAGAGATACAGTATGTGCGACATAATCACGATGCCATCCCGGAGCATTTTTCGGCCTTTGACCGCGACCCAACTTGATAGAAGTGTTAGGAATAACAACCGGATCAGCATGAGAAGTGCTGTCCGAGCCGCTGGTAGCAGCAGATGGCGCCTCGGCAGTGGCCTCCGCAATGGGCTGCGGTGGGTGCCAGCTGCCGCAGGTGAGCTTGGGTCGAGGCTGACTTGAAGAGGGACAGCAGGGTCCGTAACAGGGGCTGTAGTGCGAGCTGGAGAAGGAGATGCAGGGGAAGCTACATCATCAGGGGTGTGAGGAGCAGGGGAGTGAGTAGCAATATCGGGCACATGAGAATTTTTACCAATTTTCAAGACAAATTCTAAGTCATCCAAGAAATCATTGTCCACCCCAATATTAGCATTTGACAATTCGGCAAAACCCACATTAGTAGCACTAGAATCATCATGTTTAAGAAACGGAAATTCATTCTCAAAGAACTTGACATCACTTGAGACAAATATATCAACGGTTTCTAAATCATACACTTTCCACCCCTTTTTGCCATGAGGGTAACCCACAAACGCACATTTTCTACTCCTAGGAGAAAATTTATCACCTTTGGCCTTTTGATTGTGTGCAAAACAAAGACACCCAAAAACACGCAATGCATCAAAAAAAAATTTGGTTCTTTGCCAAACAATAATTCATAGGGAGTTTTATTATCTAGCAAACGAGTGGTAGTGCGATTAATTAAATAAACCGCTCCAAGAACACATTCACCCCAAAAAGAAATCGGTAAATTCCATTGAAATATTAAATCTCGACTGACATTTAGAATGTGTTGGTGCTTACGTTCTACCCGACCATTTTGTTGAGGTGTGCCAGCACAAGAAGTTTGGAAAAGAATGCCACTCTCACTAAAGTACGGAAGCATAGGTTTGAATTCCGTACCATTATCACTCCGGACATACTTAACATGCACATCAAATTGACATTTAACCATAGCAAAGAAAGAGCAAAAAGAAGAATATACTTCAGTTTTGTCATTCAATAAATAAACCCAAACACCTCTCGAGAAATCATCAACAATTGTTAAAAAATAATGAGCACCACATGTAGAAGGAGTTTTATACGGCCCCCATAAATCACAATGTATTAATTCAAAAATACGGCTATCCCGACTATCACTATTAGGGAAACTATCCCGTGATTGTTTAGCTTGTGGACATACATCACATGCTTTATTCAAAGATTTTCTACTAGAACTAGCACTAATAGCAGGAACTAACTTGACAATATGATCCGACGGATGCCCAAGACGACGATGCCATAATTCGAACGTAGAGATCTCCGGATTTGTCACCGCACATACTCTAGGAAGTCGCCGGAAATAATATAGTCCATCTATCCGTTCACCGTCTCCAATCAGGTTCCCCGAGAGTTGAACCTGTATAGCACACAAAAATTCAGTGAATTGTACAGTACAATTGGAATCATCAATCATCTTAGATACGGAAATTAAATTGCAATTTAGTGTAGGAACGTATAAAACGTTTTCAAGAATAAGTCCGTCATCCAAATAAACACGCCCCTCCTTCGTAGCTATGGCTTGCGTGCCATCCAGAAGACCAACGGGACAGTGAGGAATGAATTCCACACCCATTAAACATGATTCGTCACCGGTAACATGATGGGAAGCGCCGGTGTCGATGATCCAGGACAAAGAAAAATACAGTTAAGAGAAGACGAACATGCTCGGGCTGAAGTGCTAACAGAGCCGAGAGAGTTCCTTGCGATGGCAGGGAAGTAGCAGAAACCAGCGATGTACCCACAGCATTGGCACGAGGCTTAGGCTTGCTGTGATCAGTCACAGCCGTAGCAGGAGCAGGAGGAAAAGACGGGGCAGCAGCAGAAAGAGACGAGGCAGCAGCAGGCCTGCTAACCGAGGACGATGCCCCTCCTTTTTTTCCATACTTTTCAAGCCACCACTCGGGATAACCGTGGAGGATGAAACAGCCAGTGTTGTCGTGCCCTGTACGTTTACAGTGAGTACAGTAGAGTTTGGATTTGTCCACACGAGAGGTAGAAGGCAAAGACCGTCGATCCGATGGCAAGGCAAAAACATGTGCTTCAACCTTCCCTGGTTGGGCATGGCCTTGAGCAATGCCACGAGAACGCTCTTCTTGAAGAAAAGCGTGATATGCTCTGTCCAGGGTCGTAGGAGGCTGCTGCGAGAGAAGGTTCGTGCGCACCATAGCGTATTTATCATCATCAATACCGATCAAAAACTGATGCAATTTTTCTTCCTCCCTATCCGACTCGTACTTCGCAGCAACATTGCAAGAGCACTTGCCACATTCACATCCATGAGGGGGTTTGAGACGGAGAAGATCATAAAAAAATCCCATCAAAGTAGTGTAATACTCTTCAACAGTCATAGCCTTCGATTGTTTGCAATTGGTAATACAAGTGAGCAGTTGTTCGAGACGAGGGCCACTAGCCTCGCAAAACCGCTTCTCCAAATAATCCCAAAGTTTCTTGGCTTCCTCAAAGTAGGGGATGGATGCCGCAACCTTAGGATCAATAGCTCTGAGAATCCATGACACCAACATGGAATTCACCGTTTCCCAGTCAAGTAATTTATTTGGCACAGAAGGTTTAGAGATTGTTCCATCAATAAAACCATATTTGCACCGAGATTTCAACGCTAAGGTAATTGCCCTAGACCAAGCAAGATAATTGTCTCCTTTCAAGACCACATGTGTGATCAAATTGCCGGGTTGATCACCCGAGCCAAAGTAAAAGGCCGGGAGAAACAGGATCAATTTTGTGATCCACCATAGTCGATTAGCAGAGGAATTAACAGAGTAAAAAAAAAATAGTGTGATTGACAGAGAAGAGAAAAAAAGTGATTTAGGGTTTAGAGGATTAGTGGCTCCAATACCATGTCAATAATAGAGTGAATAATGCAGTGTATTGTATTAGGGTGTAAACAAGTATATATATACAACCTAGAGAGATTAGGGCTCGTAACACAACTACGGCCCATTAGAGAAGTTATACATATTTTATACATATTTATATGGCCTAACATATATACTTCCTACGTTCTCATCTTAACTTTTGTCGTGTCTTCCCCTCTTGTGGCGATATTGTATGGATTATTCTTCCCAATATTATATTTATCTATTGACTTGTCCCTGACTAGACTAGTTTGGGCTTTTTTACTCTTAATTACTTTGTTTATCTTTAATTGACATGTTTTGAATTTTAATAACTACTCATACAATTCAAGTAAGCACCACAAACACATTAACAAACAGATATCTTCTGAAGTTTGAGATCGGTGGTGATGATTGATTATTATCATCATCTTCTGGCACAGGAAGACGGATTTCTGAAAAACGGGTTTTGTTGAAAATAAACCTAGAAAATTCTTGAAATATCTTGTACAAATCTAGAATAAATATCTATATAATAGGAAGGACTAAACTAGATAAAAGTCTAGCACCTAGAATAATCTAGATAGAAAAAAGAAACAGGTAGAAGCAAATTGTAGAAGTAAATCAGTGGAATGTTGGTCACCGACATTACTTCCTATAAATAGAAGTACATATTTGCATGTATACATTCAAGCCAAGCAATAACTCCATTACATCATCATTGACTCCATACAAATTCATCCATTACAATTCCACTACAAACCAATTACGTACGGATGTTTTTACAGTGGTCGTTTAAAATATGACTACCTTATTATTTTAATGATAAACAACATCAGCAATTTATTATTTTCACACTATAAATTGGACACAATTAGTATTCTAATTTCTACAATGCATATATAATTTTTAAAAATTTTAATCCAACATTAAATAAATATTTTTCAAGAAACTATAAAATAAGAGTAAAAATTACATAAAAATTCTACCGTAGGCGTCGACTACGGACGACTATGGTCGACTACAATAAGAGATTAAATCTCAACCGTTAACCGTTTATTTGTTGATTGACTAATCTTAGGCGTCCAATTTGACACATAAAAAAACAGTCATCTCTAGTTATCAAGTCATTAAGTCTTGTTTGGTTAAATTTTGTTGTTCAAACAATTTTATTTTTTTATTGGAAAAATTGCTCCTATTAATCTGAACTTTGCCCCATCCGCCGAAATTAATCCCAACTTTCGTTTATTATCTATTGCACCGAACTTTGGGGGTATTAGTTTCTATTGCACCCAAATGACTTGCAACCGGTTAATGAGGTAAACACTGTTGACTTGTGATTAATTGCACACGTGTCGCATCATGATAGGCTTAAAAAAAATTTAAAAAAAAAACCCACGCACAGCCACCTCCACCACCACCACCACCCTCAATCGCCGTTCACCCTAACCCCGACCCTTAGTTTCACCGGAAAACGATCGAACAACCCCCGACTTCCACTAAAAACCACCGGCCTTCCTCCACCACTCATCCCAGACCTCGGAAACAACCTTAGCATAGTTGTTTTCGTGGCTAATTGACGGGGAAAGGGGGTGTCGTTTTCGTGGGAAGGGGGTGAAATTGAGGGTGGGGGAAGGGAAAGGGATGGATTTCGAGGGTGAGGGAGGGATGGGCGCCATTTTCCGGCAACGGGGGAGGAGTTTTAGGGGGTGGGGGAAGGAAATGGGTGAATTTCGAGGGAAGGGGGAGTGCTGGGCGGCGGATCTGGGGTTTTAAGGGTGGTGTTCGATGCAAGGGATGGGTTTTTGGGGGTGGGGGAGGGGTTTTCGGGGGTGTGGGAAGGGGTGGGGTGGCTGGGCGGCGGTTTTCGATGGCAGGGGGAGGGGTTTTCAGGGAGGGGGCCGAAATTCCGGCGGGGTGGGGGTGGGGGTGTGGTGTTTTCCGGGAAAGGGTAGGGGGCTGGGTTTGGTAGGTTTTTTTTTTTTAATTTTTGTTTTTCTTTTTTTTTTTTGGATCTATCACGTGTTGACACGTGTCTAGGTAACCTGCTACATCAGGTTGGCTGACCTGTTGGGTGCAACGAAAATTAATACCCCCCAAAGTTCGGTGCAATAGATAATAAACGAAAGTTGGGATTAATTTCGGCGGATGGGGCAAAGTTCAGATTAATGGGAGCAATTTTTCCTTTTTTATTTTATTTTTTTGTTTCTTTTATAAAATTGAATAAAAATATCTTCCAAAAAATAAATATTCATCTTCAACCTATATCATCTAAAACCTTCATGTTCAACCTACAACATTCATTCTTCTGGTTCAAATTAATTAAATTCTTATATTTAGTTACATTTCATAAATTATAATCAATTTATTTATTTGTATCATTGTTTAAAAAATCACTTAATATATATATATATTTTGATTTTGTCATTTAACTTTGTTTGGTGAATTCGTCAATAAGAACTTCAAAGTTCTAAAAGATAATCAAGTAATTTATTTAAAGATTCGAATTAAAATTATTTAAGTATTAGTCAAAATTATATTGTGCTTATTTGATATAATTTCATGATTCATCCGCAATTGTTTTTTTTTTTTTTTGAATAACAATCTGCCATTGTTAAATGTTAAGGTTGAAGATGACTAAAGATTGAAGATGACTATAGGTTGAAGATGAATAATATTGTTTTATTTTTATTCTTTTAAAAAAAATTCCTTTATTAAGTGCATGTTTTAGGAAAACAAATATTATAATGTATTGATTATGGGGTTTTTTTTTAGGTAAAAATATTATAAGATATTTTATTAGTTTAGTTGTTACAATTATGTTAATAAATAAATTCCAAATTCGAAAAAAAAGGAAATGAAGTAAATAAGAAAGAAAGAAGAAACAAAGACTTGCAGTTAGTTACATGAATTGAGGATTTATTCTTAGTTTTGATAAACTTTGTCTTTATTTATCTTTATCTACCGTAGTTAGTTAGGCGTGAATTGATGATTTTTTTTTTATATAAATTTTATATTCATTTATCTTTACCTTAAATACTTTATTACAATAATCATATAATTATGTAATTTGGTTTTTTTTTTTTTTTTTTTTTTTTTACCAATGCAAGTTGGTATATTTAACATAAAAATTAAATATATTTGTACTACCTCCGTTACATATTAGTTGCAACTTTGAGTATTATTTTTTAGACATAACGTTGTAACTAATATGTTACAGATGTAGTAATTATGTCAATAATGTCATACCTGTTTAGGCAAGTAAAAATGTATTTTTATTGAGAAATATAACCCCAGCCTCATAGTGTGACCTAACCACTTAGAACTGATCTCGAAATCCGAATTAGCCCAATGGGTGAAACGGGTGAAACACCAAAAAAACATATAAAAATTTGTTAATTTATAAGATTAATCTAATACATTATTCTGATTATCCGAAATAATTTAATTAATCTAACATCATTCCTTTTACCTTTAGCCACATTTATTAAATAATGATTTTAATTTAATATTCCAATTTTAAAATCTCAATCTATACAAGGCTAGGATTGTGTTTAAGGTAATGTTTTGGGGTAACTATTTCCAGTATTTAAATTTGGGATTCATCTTTAATAATAAGGGCTTGTTCACATTAATTGAACTGAGTTGAACTGAACTAAAGTAAACTAATTGGAGCTGAACTGAAATGAATTGAATTGATTGGAGCTGAACTGAACTGAATAAAGCTGAAATGAATATTTTATGAGAGAAGGAAATTAAGAGCTGAATTGAACTGAACTGATTGTAGCTGAACTGAACTGAACTAAATAGAGCTTAAATGAATATTTTATGAGAGAAGGAAATTAAGAGTTGAACTGAACTGAACTGATTGGAGTTGAAATAACTGAACTGATTGGAGTTGAACTGAACTAAACCGAAATTAAGCTGAACTGAACATGCCCTAAGAAACATGATTATGCTAATAAGATCTTGGTTAGATAGAGTGACATTAAATCTAGTCAAGAGTACTGAAATGGATGTGATTATACAAAATAACCATAAATTTCTATTATTTATATTTAACAAAAAAGGATTGAACAATTTCGTTTTAGGTACGTCCAAATATAACTTAGGTATACCCAAAATGGGAACATTTTATATACCGTAATCTATGTGTTAATCAATTTTTATATTTGTCAATCGTCCTAATTGTTTAATAAAATTTGAATTTTGGGTATTCCCAAAAATAAATTGGGGATGCCTAAAAGCGAAAACATTGTAGGGCTATGAGTTTTCTTCTAATCAAGGTTAAGGGACTATTATCATACGATTATTTTTCAGTTTAGTTCAGTCCAGCTCTAATAAGTTTAGTTCAGCTCCTAATTTCCTTCTCTTATAAAATATCCAATTCAGTTCAGTTCAGCTCTAATAAGTTCAGTTTAGTTCAGTTCAACTCCTAATTTCCTTCTCTTGTAAAATATTCAATTTACTTCAATTCAACTCTAATAAGTTCAGTTCAACTTATTTCAGTCAATGAGAATATGCCCTAATTCATTGCAAAATATAGGACTAGTAGACAAAATTATTAGAATTTGCGTGTATGAATTTCAATAATTGTCATTTGATTAAAAGCAAACATATCTTTAGCGTTGGATTTTGGGACTAACTAGTAGTTGTTTGGGACCGCCTAG